ACGCTCCTGTACCTCGAACTTGCTCGTTGCTAAGGGGACCTGGGCAAGGTCGCTAGACTCCGGCAAACGCTTGGACATTGTGTTGGTTGACTTCAGCAAGGCTTTTGACAAAGCCCCGCATGAACGGCTTCTGTTTAAGCTCCAAGGAATCGGTATTTTTGAGAACCTCCTGTCTTGGATCTCCGACTTCTTAAACGACCGCTCTATGCAAGTGAAGGTGAATGACACATTTTCTGCTCCTGTTCTCATGATGAGTGGGGTCCCACAGGGCTGTCATCGGTCCCGTAGTTTTCAGTATGTTCATCAACGACTTACCATCCACACTTCAGACGGATCCCCTAATCTACGCTGACGACCTAAAGCTATGGATGGAAGTATTCAGCCTTGAAGACGCCGACAGATTACAAACTACGCTCGATCTACTCCATGACTGGTCGATTAAGTGGCAGTTGCCCGTAAATCGTGATAAATGCTCTGTTCTCCCCGTTGGCTCATCAAACCCATTTGGAACTTACCACATTGGTGGTTCCTTGCTCAAAAGCGCAACCCAAGAGAGGGACCTTGGAGTGATAGTGTCATCAGACCTCAAATCTATTCAAGACACCCAGAAGAGGGTTGCTGCGGCCTACAGGGTGTTCCGTTTTATACGTAGAGGGTTTTCTCTCCTGACCCCTGGACTTTTCCGACTCCTCTTTGGCTCGCATGTACGCCCGATTCTCGAATACGGGCTACCCGCTGCCTACCCTCTCACCAAATCCGAATATGATATGATAGAGAAGGCTCAACGACGCGGATCCAAATCCGTCCCTGAGTTGCGAGACCTGTCGTATCCACACCGACTTCAACGAGTGAACTTGTTCTCTCTAGGTTACCGCCGTCACCGAGGAGATTTGATATTCACTCGACGTATTCTCAGAAAAGAACTGGGTTGCGAGTTACAGGACTTCTTTCAACTCAACACTGAGAGTTCGACACGAGGCCACCGCATGAAACTGTTCAAACCGAGGAATCTCCGTGTGCGGCTCAATTTGGCCTTATCAACTCGCGTGGTGAATGATTGGAACCGGTTGCCGGATCCTGTTGTTGATGCTGAGGAACGTTTTAAACAACTGTTAGATTCTCACCTGAGCGCGCTGGGATTCTGCTGCCTCTAAGGCAGCTACAGTGGTGCACTGCGGAACCTTCTGCCGCAATGACCTACGCCATCTCCGCAATGATCGGAAGTGAAGGAGCTGACAAAGGATCCTACTTCTGCTCTCTATCACCCAATGATTAAACTTCGGGAAATGGGTGTTTCTGGGGAGATTCTCTCTTGGATCTCCGGTTTTTTAAATGGCCGTAGTATGCGTGTAAGGGTTAGTGAAACTTACTCCAAGCCCCATCCTGATGAACAGCGGAGTTCCGCAAGGCTCGGAGTTGTTTGAAGTATTCAACGACCTCCCATCAGAGCATCGGACGGATTGCATGCTATATGCTGACGATCTATACCTATGGCTAGATATGTTCGAACTCGACGATGTTGACCGACTGCAAGAGAAACTAGACACGCTGCACAGCTGGGTATTGGAGTGGCAATTGCCCATCAATTATGATGAGTGCTCTGTTCTCCCTATCGTTGCTCTGTACCCCTTTGGGGTGTATCACCTTAGTGTTCCCTTGCTCAGGAACGCTGCTTGTGAGAAGGACCTTGGTGTACTTGTGTCTCCGGATCTGCACACGACCCAGGGCACCTTGAGGAGGCTAGCGGCTGCTATTAGGATGTTCTGTGCCATAAGATCTTTTTCCAGCATGATTCCTGAAATCTTTAGACTCCTTTTAACTTCCCATGTGCGCCCTATTCTCGAATATGGTTCACCTGCGGTCTATGCTCTTACAAAGACCGAACATATTCTCATAGAGAGGGTCCAATGACGAGGATCAAAATCGAGCCCAGCGAACCGGAATTGGTCCGACACCCAATGCCTTTGAACGATGAACATGTTTTCCTTGGATTATCGCCGTCGTCCAGGCGATCTGACATACACCGGACGCATACTGTGTAGAATGATGGGAAATGAACTGAAGTTCTTTCAACGCAGAGTTGATAGTTCGACACGGGGTCACCCCTGGAAACTATTTAAGCTGAGGAGACTCCGAGTCCATTCCCATGTTACTCTGTCCATCCGTGTGATGGAATGAAAGGATGTACCTGAGCCAGTCGTCAAGGCACAGTTTGAGGAAAGTTTCAAACGACTGTTGGACTTCTATCTGCTCCATAAACAAGGATCGTGTTGCTTCTGCTACGATCGTGATGGTCCCCTGTGGAAGGACGTTTCGCAAGGATCCGCGATATCCCTGCCTTGAACGGGAAATGAGGGAGCTGACACAGGATCTCCTTCTGCACTCTACCATTCCAATGAACTCGTCTTTTGTCTAACCTGCAGTCATATGGCATCTCCGGGTAAGCTCTGCGTTGGAAAATGGCATTTTTACAGGAAAGGGGAAGGTGTATGAGTGGTCTCGGATCTATATCTCCGACAACTTGTCCTGAGAGCTGCAGCGCAAGGGTCCATCATGAATTCATGGTTGTTTATCTTAAAAACAAACGAGTGTCGCCAATGTTTGCAGAAGACTAAGTTCTAGGGTACGATCGGTAACTAAGAGGGCTCAAAGGACGTGTAGGTCCTGTATACACCCTGCAAACAGCGTGTGACTGTAAGGCGTCGGCGCTGGTCCATTTCGTGGCAACTGCCGATAAATTTCCCTAAATGCTCGACGCTGCGCATTGAGAAGAGGGATCTAGTTACGAATCCCTTTTTAGGTGGAAACGAGGTGCCACACTTGACCGAGCAGGTTAAAGTTCACTCCAGTCAAACAACGCGTACGTGATCGGCAATAAGTCACCGCAAAGGGGAAAATACAAAAGGCAAGCCGAAACAAGGAATACAGCAATTTTGAAATGCAAATGAAACGCTGAAAAAAGTAAGCTTTAAAAGATGAGTGAGAAGTTGAGACGTGAAGGGAGAAACTCTTTCACCATTGGTGCTATCACCATTTCCGCAAGCAGCGCGTTTCAATAACGCATGCCAGGCCTGTAGGACCCCAAGCCTGTGTAAGGGACCGGGAGACCCACACAGTATCGGTAGGTCTCTCGCAACTGTTGGTGGCTGCGTAGCATCGTAGTGTAGGTACCGCTGATATCTTAAAACAACCTATAACTTTGTATGATAACCGACAATCAGTTGCCAAAACCCGGTCCGATCGGGATTTGTGAAGCTTCGCTGGATGACTACCAAGAGTTGGCACCTGAGTGGGATGGAACAATCCAGGTAAGTCAGGGCCGACCTGATCTGTTAGTATACGGTAAGTGTGGACCAGATCAACCCGAAGTCAAGTGTAGTGCTTCGAAAACATGCAGCTTTAGTAGTCTCTCAGGGTACGACGGTTTCCTTCATTCAAATACTATTTTTGGCCCAGTCTCGTTCAACTTTCATCCTGTCCCAGACTAAACTACGGATAACGACGTGCGTTTGGGTGCTCCGTTTCTCTTTGGATCTTTTGGCAAAGGAAGGTGTTCGAACTTCATTTACCTGAAGATTCGACTGCTAAATATTTGGAATTTGTCAAGCACAAGGCACGATGGCGTCCAAATGCTTGGATTGTGGTAAAGGCGTTATCGCAAGATCGAAGGCTGTGCAATGCTCTCTCTGTGATGGGTGGCTACACATTGCCTGCTGCGACATCAGTCCAGATCTTTATGATTACCTCCAGAGGACCAGCTCCTCAGCTATCAGTTTCCATTGTGACTCTTGTCGAACTGTATTGAGCGATAGACGGGTGTTGAACTTAGTCCACGCACTTAGCCCACGATCCATTCCTACTCAAACTGAGAACTGCACCTCTGCTAAACCGCCGGTATCTTCATCGCCTCGTTCGGCCTCTGACTCAGCCAGTTCCACTGGTAAACGATGTCGCGTCCCCTCGTCTTCGCTATCGGAGCCTCTGACACTTAGTGATGGCAGCCAAGAGAAAGACATATGCGGCAGTAGTGAGTGAGAATGTAGAACAAGCATCGGCTAGTACATGCGCAACTCTGCGAGCGAAGAAAACCAAGAGTGATTCTACGACTAAACCCAAGAAATCTTCCGAACTAAAGCTGGTCCTCGATAGAGTAAGCCAGTTGGAAAACGTTCTCAGCATGCCTCCCATGTCCCAACCCACTGAATGTAATAAACCGCATCCTCGTGACCGTTGTTTGATCATCGTGAATGCTCCTGAATCAAACAAGGCTTCCCCGGCTGAAAGGATCCTGGACGACCAAGAGTTTCTGCGGCGAATGGTCTCCCTCCTTTTTGGTGAAGGTGAACAAGGGATCAATATTGTCTCTGCTTTTCGTCTCGGAAGAAAGCAAGACGATTCTTCTCAAGTTCGTCCCCTCAAGATTGTCTGTCAGAGTGAGGATGAGTGTCGCCGCATTCTCAGACGGACCCCACGTCTTAGGGGACCTCTGTCCGGAGGATCGGATCCGAATGAAGAAAGCTGTTGAAGAACTACGAACACGCCGGGAAAATGGTGAGATGAACCTCCACATTGTGGATTTTCGTGTAGTTCACAAAGCTCCGAGAATTCGCTGGAGGCCAATCTGTGTCGCTTCCGGGCGGTAAGACCGAAGAATAGTTTGAGGGTGATATCTGCTAATGTACGTAGCCTACGAAACAAACTTGATGAAATTCAGAACTTTGCCTATGAAAATCACCCAGATCTTATGGCTTTCACAGAGACTTGGTTGTTTTCGGACATCCTCGACTCAGAGGTGAATATTCCGGGGTATAATCTAGCTCGAGCGGATCGCTCTCGAAATAGGTCCGGAGGTGGTGTGATTCTTTACTGAAAGGGGACCTCAGGGGTCATCTGGTTGAGGCCATACGCGACAATGAAGATGGGTGTGAACTTCTTTAGTGTCGGATACATAATGGATGCAAGTCTCTTATAGTTGGAGTCGCTTACAGAGCCCCCTTGGCTTCCGGAGCTAGCTTGCTGGACTCTAGTAGTATGCACGGTAGAGGCAAGGGTTGTCTGATATTGGGAGACTTTAATACTGCTAGTATTGACTGGGATTTACCCCATTGCAATCTTCCCCCGAACTCCTTTGATGCTGTCTTCCTCGAAACCGTGCTTGCATGCCATCTGTTTCAACATGTTACAATGCCCACCAGAATGTGTCCGGGTCAATCGCCACACATCCTCGACCTCGTGCTCACACCGACGCAGTCGGATGTTTCCGACTTGACTGTTCTCCAATCATTTGGGAGAAGTGACCACTGCGTAGTTTCCCTTTGTTGGATGCGGCGTCTTACCATTTACGATCACGGAGTATGCAGTCGGAACTTCTGGCGTGCTGATCCACTCCGTTTGAAAACTGCTGCCGGCGCTATGGACTGGGGTATCCCTCAGCACTTAGATGTTGATGACGCTTGGACCCTCTTGTACTCCAAGTTCACGTCGCTCATAACTCAGGTCGTTCCACTCTGCAAAGGGAAACGTTTTTCCAATGGCCCTCCCTGGATTGATCGAGTTAAAATCCCTTATGCGTCGTCGACGCAAATTGTGGGATAAGTTCAAGACTACACAATCGCCTCTGGACTACCTTGATTACAAAGCGGTCAGGAATATCAGCACATTCAAAAAGCGAGAGAAGCGACAACAGTACGAGCGCCGCTTGGCTGAGGAATCTTCCACCGCTCCCAAATTACTGTTCTCCTATCTGCGGAGACGTACGAAAGTTGGTAATGGAATACCTGTGTTGTATTCCAAAGAAAATGATACTACTCTTCATGATGATGATGCAAAAGCCGGACTCTTGGCCCTGCAGTATTCCTCAGTCTTCTCGACTGAGCCACCGTTTACCTGTGATTTAGCGTCTACGCCTTCATGTACTTTAGAACGCTTAGAAGCGGCCTTGTATAATTTTGCACAATATTTTTTTGGTGCACAGCAGCCGGCTGGTAGCTTACTGGAACGATGCCCATCCGTTACCGGTAGCTCAGTCAGCTTGCACCAGTTGCTTTTCTCTCTCCTTTTTTCTATGTATTGCGGCACAGTAGCTGAGGTGTTCCCCACCTCTAGCTAACGTGTATGATGATGATGAACGCTTAGAAATCAGCCCCGAATTGGTTGCCAAGCTTCTTTTCGAGCTAAATCCGAACTCATCACCAGGTCCTGATGGGCTACACCCTTTGTTCCTCAGAACCCTAGCTGAGTACATCGCTGTACCTGTTTGCCAAATTTTTCAGCGGTCTCTTGATGCGGGGCGTCTCCCGCTTGCTTGGAAAATGGGCACCGTCAAGCCGATATATAAAGGTGGAAATCGTCAGGACCCCGGAAACTATCGACCAATTTGCTTAACATCTATAGTTTGTAAAGTCATGGAACGAATTCTCAAGCGAGCCCTTCAGAGTCACCTTGACGGCTTGAATGTCATTTCCTCTGCGCAGCATGGCTTCAGGCGAGCTCGCTCATGTGTTTCCAACCTGCTCGTTGCCAGAGAGAGCTGGGCCAGGTCATTAGATGCCGGAAATCGCTTAGACGTTGTCTTTGTGGACTTCAAGAGGGCATTTGATACAGTACCGCACAAACGGCTTCTGTTTAAACTTCGGAGTATTGGTGTTTCTGGAGAGATTCTCTCATGGATCACTGATCTTCTGGATGGCCGTAGCATGCGAGTGAAGGTGAATGAGGTCTACTCCGCTTCCGTTCCCATGACCAGTGGGGTTCCACAAGGCTCTGTCCTTGGCCCCGAGCTGCTTAAAGTCTACATCAATGACCTTCCATCTGTACTCCAGACCGATTGTTTGCTTTATGCCGATGACCTGAAGATATGGATGGAGGTACCGACACCTGAAGCCGCTGACCGACTGCAAGAGAAGCTAAACCTGCTTCATAGCTTGTCTTCGGAATGGCGTCTACCCATCAATCGTGAGAAGTGCTCTGTCCTGCCGATCGGCTCTTCTGACCCATTTGGCGCCTATCACATTGGTTGTTTCTTGATCAGGAATGCTGCCTGTGAGAAAGACCTTGGTATACTCGTATCTCCCGATCTGTGTACCACTGAGGACACCCTGAGGAAGATAGCGGCTGCGAATAGGAGGTTCTGTGCCATTAGGAGATCGTTCTCCCGAATGACTCCAGAGGTCTTCAGACTTCTTTTTTCTTCCCATGTGCGCCCTATCCTCGAGTACGGTTTGCTTGCGGCCTACCCTTTTACAAAGACTGAACGTGTTATGATTGAGAGTTCAGCGACGAGGCTCGAAATCCATCTCAGCGCTCCGTGACCTGCCTTACACTCAGCGTCTTCGACAGATGAACATGTTTTCCTTGGACTACCGTCGACGTCGGGGTGATCTGATTTACACCAGACGGATATTGCGAGGACAGATGGGGAGTGAACTGCAAGAGTTCTTCCAGCTCTGCGCTGACAGCTCGACACGGGGTCAATCTTGGAAACAGTTTAAGCCGAGGAGGGTCCGGATTCATTCTGATTTCACCCTATCAACTCGAGTGGTAAAGGACTGGAACAGCTTGCCTGAATTGGTCGTCAGTGCATAATGTGAGGAAAGTGTTAAGAAACTGTTAGACTCCTATCTGCTGAGTATGCAAGGATCCTGTTGTTTTCGATGCGACCGTAATGGTCCCTTGCGGAATACCGCCTCGCAGCATGTCGCACAATCCTTGCTCTGAACGGGATGTGACGGAGCTGACACAGGATGTCCTATCTGCTCTCTACCACTCCAATAAGCAGGGGGATAAGCCTGCGAGCAGTATGCTGAGTGAGGCCTAACGAAGGCTGCAAATAGTAGTGCCAACATTTCGATTGCCGTGATCCCAATTGACCTGCGCATCTACAAGACGTTGAAGCCTTTTCGAGCAAATGCCGTTCAATGCTCACTGCACTTTATGTCTGGTGACAGAAAGACACCTAAGTCAACTTGGAGTCGCGCCCGCCAAACTCCGCATACATCAAGTGGATAATGAAGTCCGGCGATTCTCACCTGTCTGAAAAATCCTAATCAAAAATACTGTTTCACTGCAAACTTAGGCGACTGGTGCAGATCGTCGAACTGCATGTTGAGTTCCATTGCTTGAGCCGAGCATCGCATTTACTGTCCGCCAGTTTCGGCTGCAACGCGCGATCGCCTTGTGTCTCACCTTTTCGTTCCCCAAGCTAGCAGCGTCAAGGGTGCCATCTATTCATAGCTAGGTAAACAGATAACCCTTTACAGTACAAAATAAATACTCCCCTGCAACCTAACATGTTTTCTGGAAACGTTATCCCGGCACCCGCTAAAATGTGTAAAGGGGTCATTTGATCCTACCCACAATACTTAACGTTTGGATTTACGGACACTTCGTATAAAAGTGACCAGTCCGCGCCCGTTTAGTGCGCTCCACATGGCCATTTGACCCCTAGGTACAATCCACTGCACCTTGACCTGACAACGAAATGCGGAGGGGATGTTTCGATAGCTTGAGTCAGTACTTTCTCAAGAATAACTTTTCGCAAGTGTCTTGCTCGTATGGAAGGAGTGAAGCGATCCTACCATCCACCATAATGTCGCGATCATTATCATAGCGAGCGCGACCGCAAACAAACTAATCGCATATACAAATGAGAATTACCTGACTGCTACAAATGGCACAACTAACCAACTGCTGGTGTTGGATACACACTCGTAAACTGGCGGTGGGTCCTGGTAGAGTATTGCGTACAATGTCACTAAAAACAAACATGCCGGTTCGCTTTGTGAGACACTTAGAGTTGAGTGCTACAAGCTGAGAAAATGGGTAATGGTGCAGGTTGTAGATTAATTGTATTTACAGGAGTTAAAAATGGTTACTGCACGCTTAAGAGACAACTTTGACACTTTTATCTGGCCAATCGGTAATGTGGTCGATAGTGCCTGATTCATACTGCTGCCACATGCGAGAGTACAATGCTTCTAGATCCGCGGTGTAACTTCGACAATTGAACAGCGGAGAGGATTCTCTTGCTTTCCACACCTGAATGAGCAGAGAAAGTGAGTAATACACACCTTACCTTCGCGCGTACTGCTTGAATGTATTCTTTGTTGACACCGAGCTTGGTGGCTATTCGGATGTAGTCTTCCTGGCTGGAGGCAATCAATTCGGGACAGCCAAGAGTGTTAAGCTGGCTGGCAGCGACGCGACTTGCGAGTGACTCCAAAGGCAAAGTGACAACTGGACAGCCGGCCCACAGCACATCCATCCCAGTAGTGTGACCATTACACAATGGAGTGTCCAGACACACATCGGCAACCTTAGTGAAAAGTAAGTATTAGAAAACGCGCTTACTTGACCCCGTCGGACATGCTCCTCTTTTGGAGCGACGTTGCTGAAGATGATTCTCCTTTGAACATGTTGAAGACCCATTTCTGTAGCAGCGGCAAGTACTCCAGCTTCGCCAGCAGCGGGGAAGCGAAGAAGCCACAAAACCGAACCTGGAACATTTTTCAGAATTTCCACCCACATCCGCATGGTAGATGGGTCAACTTTGTATAACTGGTTGAAATTGCAGTACACAACTGCGTCATCAGGCAAACCATAGTGCTGCCTCGAAGTTAAAATCAGTTCCCGAGGGACCTCCTCACCCGCGGAGGCTTTAGATTGGGTTTGCTGGGTGACCAATCCATTGTGCACGGTAACACCTCCGATGGAGCAGGAAGGACTGTTGGTCCGAATCATGTTGTGAATTGGTTGCAGAGATGGCAGAGTTAGAACAACGAGCTTAATAAAGTGCGAAACTTCCTTCTTTTGCGTGCCGTGTGTTTCGATCATCCGACCACCATAGACTATCTCGCGAGTGCAAGCAACCTGGAGCAGAGGCTGAAGGTCTAAACCACTCACGACTATAGAGTTATCCGTAACACCACGTGCGCTATTAGATTCCTCTGCGCTTTCTAGTACCACGCGATTCCGCAAGTGAGGAAACATCTGATAGTGATCTCCGATGAAAAACGTCTTGGGCATGTATGCAAGTTTTTCCGAGTATTGGCAGCTCAGACGCATGGGAGATGTGACGGAATCCGTGATGATATAGTCCATGAATGTAGACCCGCTGGTCCCAGGATATCCTAACCACATAGCTTGGATCGGAGCCGGCTTCAACGCAAAGATCTCATTTCTGGCTCCCTTCGTGTAGCCGTTCATGTTTAATAATATGTGGATCCCATCATTTGCGATCCTATCCGCCGCCCTACCATGACACTGAATGCCACTAAGATCAATGAAGTGCTCAGCCTCGCTGGCAACTTTTGCTCGAAAATTGGTTCCATCATCGGCAGATAGTGAGTAACAGAATATTTCAACCTTCGTGCAATCGTGCATGCCCGGAATGCTTTGCATCAAATGACTTGTTGGATGGTTACAAAAATCAGAACTAACATAACCGATCTTAAGGCGCTGACCTGGCTGCAGCTTTTTGGGAAACCGGAAAGGTGGATGATGAAGAAGAGCAATCTTTTCCAAACAAAGAGATGCATGCTTCCCAGCGATTCTACGCCGCTGTTCATGTGTAAGTGGATACAGCATCGAATGGTGAGGATGTACGGAAGGTAACCGATTCGACTCAAGCTGATCCTGTACCATCAAAACAAGTTTCTTCATTCTGTGCCGATAATCCGACCAATCGCACACAATTTGCAGACAGTGAGCAAGATTACAGAAAGCATCAGGGAAGTTAGGCTTCAGCTTTAAAGCGGTTTTGTAAGAAGCTATTGCCTCTGCAAGATTGCCGCTATCCTTCAATATACTAGCTAGATTGGAATGAGCGTCTGCAAAAGCCGGGTTTATTTGTATTGCTCTTTGGTAGCACTGCATAGCACCCTGGACATCTTGAAGCTCCTTTAGCGTATTACCCATGTTCGAATACGCGTCCGCAAACGTCGGTGAAATACGTATCGCTTCCCTATAGTGCAACAGAGCTTCTTGTAATTTACCCTGCAACTGCAGCATGCTAGCCAGATTCGAATGAGCAACGGCGAACTCTGGGTATATTTCCAGTGCGCGAACATACAGTCGGATGGCTTCTTCTGCCTTTCCTTGCTCACGTTTAATATTGGCCAAATTGTTCAACGAATCCGCATGAGTAGGGCAAAGTCTGAGCGCGGTGTTGTAATGCTCTTCAGCTTCAGTAACCTTTCCTTTTTCCTTCAGCGCGTTAGCTAGATTACAGTAGGCATCAGGGAAGTTTGGCTGCAGTTCGATTGCTCGCTTGTATGTATCAATAGCCAAGTCGATCAAATTCTGTTCATAGTAAACGCACGCAAGATTTCCGTGGACGACGGCATTGGTTGGAGATAGGGCAAGGGCTCTTAAGTAGGCCGCGACAGCCCTATCAAAAATACGTGCCTCTTTCAGTACGTTGCCTAGGTTGACATAAGCATCGAAAAACGTTGGATCAAGTGTTACCGCCTAGAATAACGTAAAAGAAAAAAAAAGAACCTCACCTTTTCAAAGTGATGGATTGCTAACCATATTTCATTCTGTGCGTTAAAAACGCAACCAAGATTGCTCCAAGCCACAGCGAATGTCGGACATGTTTCGATTGCCTTCAGGTAACATGACTGAAAGCGAAGCACAAGTTGTGCGAGAACAGAACAGGGGGCGCGCGGAAGACGTGCGTCTTCAGAAGTTAAGGAAGCATGCCGGCGCGCAACAATAAATGGCACTAACCTAATCGAATAGACCTACAGGCGCAGTGCCATATGGCAAGCCTAGATAGACGCGCGAACAGATGCCAGCAGGAAGAACTCACAAATCCAGCGTCATCAGGATCGACAACGAAGCCGAGGAGAACCGGAGGTCATTTGACTGCCAAACTGCATACGCACAGCTGTTCGAAAGAGAAATTCTGAAACATTAGACGTGCTAGTGGCGCGAAAACGGGTATTCGTCTGGAGGATGTGGGACAGCGCGGCGGTCGAAGACCGTTACAAAATGCAAACATTGCGTAATTTAAAATGTCGCAGCGCGTCAATGCACGGGAGAGTAGCTTACTTTTGCTTCATCCAAGCGTCCCAAAGCCTTCAGCAAGTTGCCCAAATCACTTCGAACACAATACAAATCCTAATGGCAAACAGTTACAACTGAAAAGCAAAACTCACCGGGTTGTATTGCAGGGCTGTCGCATAGGCGTTAACCGCGGATTCCATGTCCCCAGCTGCAACAAGCGCCGCAGCTAGATTGATGTAACCATCTATGAAGTCCGGTTTGATACTGAGTGCATGCTTGTAATTATCGATAGCCTCCTTTAGTTGTCCACGCTCTTTGAAGACGTTACCGAGATTGGAATAGGCCTCCGCCATTAACGGATTGTGCTTGATAGCTAACTGGCTAAAATACGCAGAACGATCCATCCTTCTGCACTGAAAGTGAATCGAGCTGAGAAGCAGCAAGGTGGACGTATTTTCCGGGTCAAGGTGCCAAAGCTGCATGCAGTGTTGTTCCGCTCGCTCATACTCGCCGGCCTGATACTCCCTGTGAGCCAACTCCGCCAAATCTGCAGCAGAAAAGCGATTAGACACTATGATTTGATTGAAAAACGACGCGTCATTAATGAAACATACTGGGACTTTCTGCGAGACGGAGTATCGTTCTTCGCTCGAGCATATCCTGAAAGTGAAACCGAAACAGATTTAAACTCAATCACTTCCTACCCCTAAAAGCAAAAAAGTAATATGATCTACATTAAATAATGCACTGACTCAATAAAATAGAACATTTGAGGCGCCTTAGGTTTGTTTAATCGGTTTGGCAAATACGTACGCATTTCAAATTTATTAAGTTTGTGTATTTCCGAAAAATGTACCGCATTTAGCCTGGAACATCGCAGCTTTCTTAAGAAGAACAATATTTCAACATTACTGGAACGCATTTTAACGCATAATTTTCAGTAGTTAACACATAAGTCACGGTTTTGCTTATACAACAAACGTTTTCGGAACAAGTTTTCATGAGCCAAAACGTTCATGTTCAAGTGGGACTGGAACAGTAGGATACAGCCCCGTGAAGGTTCATTCATTGGCGCGTCGTCGATCCTGTGTATTATCAGTCCGCAATAACTGGAATCCAGAAGAGTCATCTCAGCGCACGCAAATCACACCACGGTCAACCAATTACTCCCCGCGACCTGCATTGGCAGTCCCCAACGCAAGGGTCACATGAAATATGAGCCAGACATACGAAAGTAATGAGCCACAAGAAGCGAAAAGTAATAGGTGTAATAATTCAATAGGGCGAATAAATTAGGAGGTGAAGTGGATTAAGAATTTGAGGGTCAAGCACCTCAGTCGGTGTTCGAACCCTTTCACCGTTGGTGCTAATACCACGTTCGCGGGCAGTGCATTCCGGGAATCCACCAAGCGGTTCGATAAAGGAACGTCTGCCCGACCTCCACCTGATGGAGTTTCGTGTAGCCTCACGAGTTACCTTGGAGTGATGGAAGCCGAGCCGGTTGGAAAGCGTTGATAACTGGGGTCCGATTTTACCGGTAAATATGCGATAGGTCATGAGCAGGTCGCCTCGATAGCGATGATAATGCATTGAGAACATTCCCGGCGCAATTAGTCTCTCTGAGTGGGAATCGTTCCGTAGTCAACGAACCATTTTTGTCCCAACTCTCAACGCTCTCCACTGACGTCCTGTCCCGACTAAGCAAGGTTGACAAGCCTGGATGCAGTATTCCAAATGTGGCCCAACAAAGACCGGGCATAACCTAGCAAACACAGCGCCCAGGTTGGTCTCGAACGCCCTGCAGATCACCCACAACCTTCGGAAACCCTTGCAAATAGTTTTCCACCAGTTCTTACTCGATTTATATGCCGAAGTTAACGTGCTCTCTAGCTCGACTAATTAGGAAACATGGTGTAGTTCATTACCGCCAAACAGATAACGCGTTTGGGGCCATTTGGCCCTAGTCCTAAGGTGGAGCACTGTGCATACTTCATGGGCAACTGCCACAGACCAGCCTAGTCCCAAACTTTAACGACGGTCAGTTGCAGCTTCTGGGGTCCATTGGGGTCGTACACTGTGTGCCGTAACTTAAGGTCCTCTGCAAACTTGAGGGATGGTACACTCAGCAGTTCGGGCAGCTCATTGATATACAAAGAAAAAAGCAACGGGCCAAGCACCGAACCCTGATGGACCCCACTGAGGAATGACTGACGGAAAGGTGGAATATACCCACACGAACACATATCACACTCCCTTCCAGAAACGCGGTGATCCATTGCATTGCACGCCCTGATATTCCATAGGACGGTAGGTACAAGGAGAGGAGAAAATCAGATACGGTGTCGAACGCATTGGAAAGTCTATAAACAGTACATCTGCTGCACGAGTGCTACGCGGTAACTCGATTTTTGTGGCGTGCCATACTGATCGAGATTTTTAGCTGAAATAACGTGGAAAACAGTGTTTGAATGAACACTTGAAACGAAATTTGACTATTATCGAATTTCTTCTGATCCAAGATATCTTGGATCGACTAAAGTGGTATTGGTCAAAGCTTCTTCCTGACGCTTATTCGTAATTTTGCGGTTGTTCCCTTTTTAATTCCGTTTTACACCTTGTTTTGCCTTTTTATTTTGGTCGTTTTACGGTTGTATACGTGTTTTTCATCGCTGTTTTGTTTTCTCTTCAGCATGGTCGTCTCACGAAAAACCGAGGCGGATGCACCCCTTGCGTTCTCGTTTGATGAGCCAAATGCAGCTTGCAGCAATTCTGCCTGTTCAAGGCCAGTAACGGATTCATCTGGTGGTATGCAGTGCGATGTTTGCTTTCTTTGGTATAACAAAAGTAGTACCGGCCTCCGAGCGAATCAGTACAATATGCTATCATCCAGCGAAAACCTTCTGTTTAGATGTGCTGATTGTTGCGCTCAGAAAGCGAAGCTCCCGGCTTTCATCTGTGCTGAATTCAGAGCTCTAGCATCCAGATTCACAGCTGTTGAGAAGGCATTAGCCGAGCTTGCCTCTCTTGCTTCGCTCAACTCTAAAGTGGATTTGATTATGAAATCCCTGAATATTGCGAATGTGAACGCTGGAACGGACTGTCCTTCTGCTGACAGTCCAACCGTTGACGAGGCGTTCATCCTGCCGGACGCTCCAGTTCACGTGGATATAACTGACACAGATGCCTCGGAGGGCATTGTTGACCCGCCCCAAATGGAAGGCGAGTCACAGGCTCCTTGGATATTGAAGAATATGCGTAAGAGAGCAAGGAAAACTCGCAAACCCTCCGCCCCCAAACCGGAAGGTGCTAAAATTCTCAAGAAACAAGCGTCTGAGTTGGAAACCCTACCTGGTGTTGCAATTTCCTCAGTGAGACAAGTGGTGCCGTTGCCTTCGGTCCCACCGATTCCGGTCAAAAAACCATGTGGCATTTATGGTAAGGCATGTGGTGTAAATACACCTCGTCGAGGCGATTCTTACACAGATAGCAGTGTGATTTTCAGAAACGTCACTGAATCCACTGCCGCTCTTCCCACCGAGCGCATGCTTGATGATCTTGGTTGGCTTAAGGTTTGCGTGACCAGGCTTTTACCACCAGGTTTCCCTGGCGTTACTATCAGGAAGCTCATCAGATTGGGGAACGTTCCGGTTGGTCAAACAAATCCTCGACCCCGTCTGCTTAGGGTGGTCCTCTCCACCCCAGAAGAGCGCAGGGCCTTACTGCGATTTGCCTTCAAGCTCAAAGGTACCAACGTTAGTGTGCAACCAGACCTTCCGTTAGCGGATAGGTTAAAGTTAAAGGAAGCCATCAGAGACCTGAAAGCCCGGCGTGCAGCTGGCGAGCAAGGTCTCCGATTGGTGTGTTTTCAGGTGGTCAGCCGGCGGTCCTTTTCCGCCCTGCCAGAACCTATACTACTTGCGCACGACCCAGGGCTGGTCGTGCCGAAGCCCTCCAAGTAGTATTTAGTAACGTGCGTAGCCTGAGTAACAAGATGTGCGAGGTGGGTCCGCTCGTAGACAAATCTCGTCCAGATATACTTGCTTTCACTGAAAAGTGGCTGTCTGAGGAAATCACAGATGGCGAAGTATATCTGCCTGGCTACGCATTGTTCCGCGCTGACCGCTCCATTGGCCGTCAAGAAGGTGGTGTAGCTCTTTATGTGAGTTATCACATCGACGTACTGTGCACCAGGGTTTTTCAGTCCCTCGACAAATCTGTTGAGGCACTCGCAGTCTTGATTTGCGCTTCCCCGGTTCAGGTTACGGTCGTGTTAGTGTACAGAAGCCCTATGAGCACCTCCAATGGAAGCATTGAGTTTATACGCACTCACGCTACGAACAAGTGTCTGGTGCTGGGAGACTTCAATCTCCCAGAGGTTTGTTGGGATGATCCATCTTGCAGTTCGGCTCTGGAATCGTTCGGTACAGAACTGCTGGACTTAACGCTGCAGGTACCACTACACCAGTTCGTGGACCTCCCCACTAGGTACATGAGCAATCAGCAGCCGTCCATTTTAGATCTTGTTTTTCCTAAGTCACTTGACTTTGTAAATGACATTAAATACGACTTGCCTCTTGGTGCTAGCGATCACGTTTGCTTGTCTTTCCAGTGTACCCTTATCAGGCCTTGCCAAGCTACTACCAGTTGGTATCCGAACATTTGGGCCGCGGACTTCCAAGCGATGCGAGATAAAGCTAGGTCATCGCTTTGTGTGATATCTGAGACGGACACTGTTCACATAGCCTGGGAAAAACTTAAAGTTCCCCTCGTAGACATTACTGCACCCCACATCCCACTGGTAAAAAGAAGGGAATCGAGAGCGCATCCTCCGTGGATAGATTCCGCCGGGAAGGGCCTGCTAAAGAAGCGGTCTAGATGCTGGCGAGCGTACCGAACAGCTCCGTCGAACAGCGCGTTTGACAAGGATCAGTTGGTTCGAAAGGAGTGCAAGCTACATCTTAGGTTGGCCCGACTTCATTATAAAAAGGGTTTAGCTAATACTGCCTGGAAAAATCCCAAGAAATTCTTCGCTTACGTTAAACGACGCTGTGGTGCAAACTCGCCCATACCACCATTGCTTCGAGGAGATGGGACGCATGCCTATAGCGACTATGACAAGGCATGCGTGCTTGGTAAGCAGTACTCAAGCGTCTTTGTCCACGAAACAAATACGCCATGCAAAGAGTTAGCTTCAAGAGTCTCTGAGGACTGTTGTCTGGATGAAATTCCTGTAACTGAGTCCCAAGTTCTCCGGTTGCTAAGAGAGGTGAACCAAACTAAGGCTTCCGGGCCAGATTCTGTTCATCCAAAATTGTGGCACGAATTGGCAGGGGAACTCAGTGGACCTCTGAGTTGTGTGTTTCATAAGTCACTCAACAGCTGTATCTTGCCTACCGAATGGAAGGAGGCTGTTGTCTGCCCGATTTTCAAGTGCGGTGACAAAGACCTACCGGCTAATTACAGGCCTGTCAGCTTGACTAGCGTGGTCGTTAAGTTACTTGAAAAATTAGTACGAGATACAGTGGAGAACCATTTAAATAGGTTTAACCTGCTTAGTGTCGAGCAACATGGTTTTCGCAAAGGATTTTCGTGTCAGACGAACTTGTTGGTAGCTCGTGAGTGCTGGGCTGAAGCCGTAGACAGTGGACATGCGGTGGATGTGGTGTTCATTGACTTTGC